TAGGATTTTGGAAAACACAAAGGAATAGATGTCTTTCCAGGCTAACATGCCACGTTTAACTCCTACAATTGTGTGACATTTTAATGCCAGACGTTAATTTTGGAATCGTTGAATCTTTCTCATGGAAAAAGGTGAAGTGCTGAAATTAAAATTTTAGCTAAACAGAGACAAATGAGAAACTCAAGTGCAGTAAATAAAAAATAAAAAGAAACTATTATATTTGCATTCATTCCTAGCACAGGGTCATTAAATTCCCCATTCCCCCCATGAACATAATATTAAATCCTAAATAAATTGTAAATTAATCATAAAAATTATTATGTAATAAACTATTATAATATAAAGAAATTCTATCATCTCACAGAGTAGAAAAGAAGATTAGTGCTGCCATCTATTAGCGTGGTACCCTCAGTATGGACGTTGGTATATATTATATACCGGTTTTAAAATTGCATAAATAAACTTCTATTAATTACCACTTTTGACTGAAATGAAGTAAATATATAATTTTCCCTCCAATAGGATTTATGTATCTTCAAACATGACACCTTGGAACGAGGTATATTAATTTCACAACTGCAAAATATTGAGCATTCATAGGGTAGTGCTGCCATTTAGAATCAAAAGGAAATACAGTCAAAAGTCTTTAATACGGACATCCATGATCCGGCATCCCCCATTTTTGTTAAACCCTTTTTAGATTAAGTTAGTATTTACAACGCCTCACTTAATATACTATGCATTTACAACAGCATATTAGGGCCTTCATTATAAGGTAATATGTCACATGGACTTTTCCGTTATTTGATACATTGTTTATTGCACATTAGGATACATTCATGGTTATGTTACTTCAAGCTTCTCTTTCATCTTCTGTATCTTATTTAAACCCATTTTATATATATATAATCCGGACCTCAAAGCTACAAACTTTCTGCGCATGCGTCAACACATGCACATAATACCTTTACGCATGCGCATATGCATCTACGCATGCACATAATATGTTTAATGTATAATGGACAGTATAAGGTAAGCTAAAATTATCTAATTACCTATTTTAGTTAATGTTGCAGATTGCAATGTTCCTTAATCTTTAATTGGATCCGGCTTATTATTTTTTGCAGACCGTTAGAGCAATTTTATAAAAGTAAGCTTGAACTTTCGATTCTGTCAAAAGGAATTTCCAATTCCGGAGGTGCAAAGTACCTACAAAGCGAATGCTTGTTTTGATGTCCATCAAACAAAAAGTGGAATTGTTGCAAAAAATGGATAAAGGCATATCCTTTGTTTCTCTAACCATTCCAAAACCTGTTTATCAATTTCACGCTGCTCTCTGAGGGGATCGGGGGGACATCGCAGCACGCAATGAACTGGAAGTTGATCTGTCAACATTATCCTTATCTTCAAGGCAGATGGTTTTATTTTATTCGGCTTATAATTCCTTACTAAATGTAATATTTCATTAAAATGTTCTCCGTCTTTGATATGATTTAAATCAAACTCATCGTCATTATAAATATCACAAATATACATCAAATAGTTTTCTGGTTGCAATTTTCTAATTTCGAATTTGCATAATGTATGCTTTACGCATGTGCACGTTGAAAGAAATGTTTAATAAAGTAAACAAATAAATATTAAGCTTTTTTTTTTTTTTTTTTTTTTTTTTTTGTAAATTTTGGTACCCTTTAGATCATAATTGCTCTTTATGTCATAAATTATGGTTTCATATTTTTAATTTTATAATTTCTGCATGCCATCTTACCAGATTTAAACTGGTAATCTATAATCTGGAAAAAATTATAATCCAGAATCGCCGAAGTCCCGATGAGTCCGGATTAAAGACTTTTGACTGTACCAGAAACTTACGATTACAGCTTGGTGTAGAAAAATTAGCATTTTTCAGGAGGTTAAAAAATTGACAAACATCTGGTATATTTTATATACTGGTGCCTTATCATCAGAAATTGCACTCATAACTGAATTGTAAAAGAACTTGAGAAATGCTAATAGAGGAAGATTTTAAATTGAGGAGTTTTGTCGCAGTTGACATATCCCAATTAACATGACTTCCGGAAATCCAGAATTTTAATAGATATGAAAAATTAACCTAAACATTTGTGTTGAATCTTTTTCTTTATTGAATAACAACACTTACCAAATATTTATCTCTATAAAATAATATGTCTTGGCTTGATATTTCTAATAACAAAACATATTTCCATTGCCAGATCATTTCAATTGTGATAAGAAATCCTGTATTTATTCACGAGTTTCCTGCCCCCTCTTCTTTTACTAATTTTATCATGGAAAAATCAAAAGGGCAAAATTATGCAAATAGTTTAATCTCTGAAGGATGTGTTTACAGTAAGAACATAAAAATAATTTTTGAAAGATGCGGTTATTGTAAAAGCATCACGAACATTAACCCTTTTCTACTCTCAGCCACCAAAGCTTTTTTACCATTCCAGTTGTATGTTTACTTTCAGCCATAAAAAATTTTTACTATTGTAGTCCTGTGTCTGCTTTGAGCCACCAAAGCGTTTTTACCATTCCAGTTGTATATGTGCTCTCAGCAACCACAACAAAGAATGATTCTGATCTTATATTACATTAAGTAGAGAAGTTTCATAATCTTACATTTTGTATAACTATTTGTTCAGTGAAAATTAATTCTAATCAACGGTATAAATTTGGTACCTATGTATAAATTTGATATGACTGCAAAGATTTAATAAATAAACTTCCAGCAACTATCATGATATCTAATATGACATCTGCAGTTTTACTTCACTCTTTCTGAATTCTCACCTGTTCTTATTGTTGTCCATTGCTACTCTACATGCCTGAAATCATTCATTGCTACTGGAACTCCTGTTTGTGTATCTGCTGTGGCTTGCAAGTCATCGCTATTGTCACCATTGTCATTGTCTTCATCTCTGCGCAGATCTTGCATGTAATGACCTCAAGAATATTAGATATCCTTGTTTTCTTGAAACTCTTTACTATAACTGTCCATTATTCGGAACCCATGCACCCAAAATTCATGAGTAAGTCAATTAGAGAAAACAACCACTATATGGACCAATTTATTTTTAAATTTAAGAAAACTCACTGGTGAGAACACTGCTATAAGAGATAAGAGTAATACAATTAAACAATGACTGTAGGCAATATTGGTGCACAAATCTTTAAGTAGAATTTTTTCGATATCTCTTATTCTAGAAAAGAACAGATACTTTAATTTTTATTTATCATATATTATTGATAATTTTTTTAGAAATATGCATATGTCTGGATATCTGTTATAAACTAAACTCGGTGGCGTAACAGCCCTAATTGGCCGAGGCTTGCAGTGCACAAAATCTGCTTTCTTGACTGTAAGTCCCGGGTGGTCAAATGGTGGCCCAAATGCCCTGAACAAGTGGTCAGTTTGTCACAGGACCCCCGGTGTTTAGTCCCCAAGTGAACTTGGTACTCATTTTATCAACCCAAGTGATAGAAATCAAGGGATGAAAGGCTGAGTCGACCTTGCCCAGCACGAGAAGCCAACCCCGGACCTGCGGTGCTGCTGCCACTGCGCCACCGGGCCTCGAATATCTGTTATACATATATGAATAGTTGTATTGTTGAACTGAGAAATCAGTTGTACATTATCACTCCTTTTATTCTTTGTATTTATTTCAGACTGTGAATAACTCATTATACTTTTTTTTTATGTATTTAATAGTGGGATAATAAATGCTTGCTCAAGTCCTGAAATTAATTAGGTAATAGTTATGATGTGTTATTGAAATGCAGTTAAACTATTGCGTTTTTTATTATTTTTATTTACATAGCCTTTTTAGTTGCTATGTTTATTACAAATGCTTAATGTTATGCTTTTACTCCTGTAATCTAGATTGCCATACTAATGTATATTATAATGCATATGAAATCTCTTATCCCTTATTTAATTCTCCAATTAAAACAAGATTCAAAACTATCCAATTCTATTTTTAAAAAATGATAAAATACTGTTTTATACATGTCCGTAATCCGGACTCATTGGGACTTCGACGATTCCGGTTTAGGGTTTTTTCCGGATTATAGATCATCAATTTAAATCTGCTAAGATGGCATGCAGAAATGATACATTTAAAAATATGAAATCGTAATTTATGAAATAAAGAACAATTATGATCTAAAGTGTATCAAAATCTACAAAAATAGCTTAATATTTATTTGTTTACTTTATTAAACATTTCTTTCAATGTAAGTTGTTTAAGATGCTTCCACAAAAAATTCAAAAAGTTTCTTTTTTTCCTTTTTCTTGTGTCATATATATAGTGGACTTTCCAATGCCATACTTCTCACATAATTTTGAGGCGGATAGGCCTTTATCCATTTTTTGCAGTAATTCCACTTTTTGTTTAATGAACATCGAAACATGTTTTCGCTTTGTAGATCCTTTGGCAGCTCCAGAATCGGAAACTCTTTTTGACATAATCAAAAGTTCAAGCTTAATTTTTATAAAATTGTTCTCAGTCTGCAAAAAATAATAAGCTGGATCCAATTAGAAGATTAAGGAACAGCGCAATCTGCAACATTAACTGAAATGCCTTAGATAATTTTACCGTTATACATTAAACGCGCATGCGTAAACGCATCATGCGTTTACTTATGACACAAAGGAAAAAAAGGAACTTTTTGAATTTTTCGTGGAAGCATCTTAAACAACTTACATGTGCATAAAGTTTGTAGTTTTGAGGTCCGGATTATAGATAATTCCAGATTATGGACGTCCAGATTACAGACCTCGTACTGATAAAAAGTGTAATTGCTTGAACAACGTACTATTTACAAGATTTGATGCTAAGTTATGCTTTAGATAAAATTACTTCTTTGCTGATATCATGCTTTAATTAATTATAAACTTAAAATTATAGACTGCAGTGATAAAATTATTAAATGTTTTTATCCCCATAATTAATTTCTGTTTTTTTCCTTCCTCTTAGTGAAGTGAATTTGAATCGCCATATATCATGTGAGCCGTGTAGCAAAATTGTTACTGGTGGTTATGATGCTGAAATGAATCAAATTGTAATATGCCAGAATACTGCAAGAACCAAATCTGCAGTGCAGGGAGCTTTAGCTCATGAAATGGTTCACATGTTTGATTTTTGTCGGGCTAATCTGGACTTCAAGAATTTTGATCACTTGCTTTGCACTGAGGTAAATTTATTATGTAGTGATTCATTTCACTGTTTCTTAAACGTATTGTTATTTTATTTGAAGATGTTCAAAAGCTTTTGTAATCACAAACTAGTTAATCTTTTCAAGTGTTGAAATCGAGAGCAAGATTTAAGATTGATAAGGTCCTAAATTAAATGATTTTTGAAATTCTTCCCAGAGCCAGGCTCATATACAAATAAAATTTTACTGATTTGGTAAAGCAAAACTATTTATCTGTAAAATAATTAATTCCTTAAAATAATCAAAAAACACTTATTTGTTTTTAATATAGATTTATATTCAGTTTCAAAATGTAATTACTTATTAAATTTTTAAAAAGATTATATATTTTTCCTACTTTTTTAGAGAAATCTCACATCATATCATCAGAGATAATATCCTAAGTTTATAGCTTATTAGATGTCTTAATGAAGAATGATTTAGAACATATTAGAAAGAAATTAATTGTTTATTGAGGAAAGTTAAATTCATATTGCATTTGAATTGATTAACATAGCTTAAAGTTATCTTGATTAGTGATTATTAAGACATTTTTGAAAATTACATTTTAATTGAGCTATTTCCTTAATTCAGTTTTAGCCATGCTATAGACACACTTAAATATGAAGAATGATTTAAAACATATTAGAAAGAAATTAATTGTTTATTGATGAAAGTTAAATCCATATTGTATTTGAAATGATTAACATAGCTTAAAATTATCTTGATTTAGTGATTATTAAGACATTTTTGAAAATTACCTCTTAATTCAGCCATTTGCTTAATTCAGTTTTAACCATGCTGTATGCACTGCTGACTATTAATGCCATTGGTTGGCATGAAATTTTTATAGTATGTAGCTGAGGATAGGGCATAAAAATGATTAGCAGTGTGGCACACATGCAAATAATTGGAACTACAGTGCTACCTAGAATTAGTTTAAGCAAGGAGAAGGAATGTACAATAACAGATCTCCAAATTTTATGTTGGTAGAATAATAATATACTATGGATTGACATACTACCATATTTTTACTTACATCAGTTGAAATTTAGCCATTATCATACTAATGCAGAATTGATGGAACAACACCATAGGCTGATAGAGAATGCCTAAGAGGTTAGATATCTTGTGTGAATGGCTCACATAAACTGTACAGCTATATTATGTGTCTCAGCACAAGAAGATGAGATAGCTTTTTGCTGGTCACAGACTGTTTGCATGGCAGCCATTGCTTTTCCTACCTGTAATACAGTACAAAGTCCATAATCCGGACATCCATTATCTGATTATAGGACGTACATTATTTACCTGTGCGTGTTTCCGATAGAAAGTGACAGAGAGGTTATTGAAAATGAAAAAATTTTGATTGACAAGCTAGTTGGTATTCTCAACACAGCAATTACAGGACTTGAACAGTGGAACTTTGTAACTGAACAAAAAATTATGTCTGCTTATAAAATTAAAGAGAAAGTATTAGCACAAAAAAACAAAGCAACTTAAACAACTTACGTTGAAAGAAATGTTTAATAAGGTAAACAAATAAATATTAAGCTTTTTTTTTTTTTTTTTTTTTTTTTTAATTTTGATACTGTTTAGATCATAATTGCTCTTTATTTCATAAATTATGGTTTCATATTTTTAATTGTATAATTTCTGCATGCTACCTTACCAGATTTAAATTGATGATCTATAATCCGTAAAAACCCCTAATCCGGAATTGCCGAAGTCCCGACGAGTCCGGATTACGGACTTTGTACTGTAGTATAATACAGATGTCTTCAGTTACAGTGGTGCATTAAATGAGTCTCATGGATTCATGGATTGTGTGAAATTGCCTCCTGAGACAAATTGTGCTTCTGCAAGCAACATCATAATAGATATGTAAATGTCAGCATTAAGAGCAGTTTCTGGAATCTTGCTTTATATGCCTTCATACTGGATACTACTTATAATATGGGTGCATGTCCTGCTTATGTATGCCAATGCAAGTCCTGCTTATGTATGGTACACATATCTCCCATTCTAACTAGGCATTGTTGCATTACAATAAATTAAGGTCTGTTGTTGTTTCATATAATCAGAAAATTCTAGAGCCATTTCCAACAAGGCGATGCGTGATTATACATTATACACATTTCAATATACAACAGTTCCTCAGCATACAGAAGATTATGATTCTGCCCTGGCCACTGCATTCTTTAGATTGTTCCTTGACTGAGCACATAGTGAATGTGTGGTATCATGCAACTAACATAACAGAGACTAGCAGAAAAACTCTAATAACAAATTACAGCTTCTGAATTGCAGTATCTCGAAATGCAGTCCAAACTGTCTTTAAATCTATGTCCATTTAAAAATGGTGTATATTGCTCGTGGCCACATTTGATACTGATCATAGCTGTTTGTTGAATGCATCTGAAATTTAATGATTTCATCTTTGCAATCAGTAAAATATAGCATAGTTGGGTTATCTTTTGTCCTTGTTGATGTAACAATTTTAATGACCAGTAGTATATTACAAAATGCTAATTTTTTAAAAAGATTGTGCAGCTGTTTTATGCTTACATATAGGAATAATATTACTTAAAAAAATTTTTTTTGCAGGATAATTGGATAATTTTACATTAGTCTGTATATGCTTCAGGTTATAGTATGAGATCAATATTTAAATTAAGAAACAGTGCTAAATTTAGTTTTTCTAAATCGGGATTGGATACTATTGTTATTGGTATAATAAATATGTTTAAAATAAAAAAAAGATACTTAGAATGAATTGATATAGTGATGCCTCATATAAAGAACATGTATCTCAAAGTAAAATATGTCTTACATAATGAACTCGATCCTGCATTACCAGTTGCATATGTACCTCTTTGAGCATTAAATATTGAGCTAAAGTTTAATAAAATAGGTTTTAGTAACACATGTGCGTGCACACACACATACACATATATAAACAGATGTATGCATAAATAAAGGGTAATGAACAGAGAAACAGGTGAATAAACATATGTATTGTTATTTTTTTTACATATGAACAGATGCCAGTTTTCTTTTTGGCCCAGAACTTGAAGAAACATAAAGGGAAGTTTCTGTTGGTGAGAACACAAAGTAACTGCCTTCTGAAGAAGTGTAATTAGATTTATTCTGCATTTTTTTAAGTGAAAAGATATCCAGGTTGAAGCAAAACAATGGGATCCCATTAAGCTGACATCAAACTATTAATTATCTGTTCAATGATAATATCATGCAATACTTCAGGACCATTCTGAAAAAGAGAAAGGCCATATTAGGTAACATCTTGAAACTTAGACCTCCCATAAAGCAAAGGCATATATGTAAAATAATAAAAGCAGCAGTGCAGTCAAACTTAAAAAAAGAAGACAAAAAAAAAAAAAAAAAAAAAAAAAAAAACAGAATTTTAAAAAAGCTGTCAGACAAAATATAGTATATATATATATATATATATATATATATATATATATGTAGTGTATGAAAATATTTTTACTATAATCTGTGTAAATTCTCAGCATTTTAAACAACGATGGGGTTTATAAATATTGGGTTTTAATAAAAGTTTCCTGCCACTGCAAATATCATCTGCGCAAACAGTTCACATTGTTGTGTTTAATCGTATTTTGGCAAACAATTTTGGGCATTTGAAAGAAAGACACTTGCTTTAGAACACTGTGTTGTGAAATTTGTAAAAAAATATCGTTATCATTAAGTACAAGGGGTCTGAAATGGAACAATCATGCTACCAGATACGAACCATCATTTACTTCCAGTTCTGTTGCAAAAAGTTAGCTACAGAATGTTGCCAAATCATGTGTATAGCTTTAGGTACTAATGTTGTATCATGTGACAGTGTGAAGATTTGGTACCAAAAGTTCACAAACAAAGACTATGACATTCAAGAGCATGCTGGCAGGTCTACTGATGTTGATGAGATCCCCCTGTGAAGATTTGTGGAAGAATTTGTGAAGGAGTTAGGCATTAATGCCATATCAATTAATTGTGCTATGCATTGCATAAACTTGACGTACAAATTCAATCGCTAGGTGCCGCATAAGCTGCTTCAAGCAGTTATAAGGACAGACATGTTCGAGCCTGCACTAATCTGCTTGAATGTCAGCGCAAAGACAAAATTTTGGACTGAATCGTCACTTGTGATGAAAAGTCGATTTACTTCAACAACACAGGCCAAAAATGAGGATTGGTCTGCGTCCGATAAGCTCGTCAGCAGCGTCACAAAATACAATTCGACTGAAAAAAAGATCATGCTTTGAATCTGGTGGGATTATCCACAAAGGGTAATCTGGGAAAAGTTAAGTAAGGTGTATAGCAAGATGCTAATTCAAGGTGACACTGCTATCAAGGAAAAACGTCAAACTGAGTTTCAGCAGAAAAATGTGATGTTATGTCAAGATAATGCAAGACTACTTATGTGTGCATTCACCAGCTGGATTCTGTATGGACTTGAGTGGGATCTTTTGCCACACACACACACCATATACCCCCCATAGTCGCTCCTTCGGACTTCTACCTTTTTTCACACCTGCAGCTACATCTTGCTGGTGCTATTTTCCATTCTGCACAGGACGTCCGAAATGAGGTTAATCTGTTTTTGGACTCGCACCACCTAATCTGTGGGCCAAAGGCAAAAGAAAAACTGCCAAAACGTTGGTAGCAAATCATAGATTTGGGTAGTGATTACTACCTGCACTAAAGGTACTGCTCTCATGTTTTTGGTTTTTTTTCTCTAACTTTATTAAGAACATTTTTTGGTGGAAATCTTTCATTACAACCAGATATATAGAGAGAAATGTAAACAAAAAGTTAGAAATTTAGAACCAAATTCACAGACAGGAGGAAAAAAAAAAAAAAAAAAAAAGAAAGAAAAAGAAAGAAATTCAAAACCAAAAGAACCCAAAATTCCCTATTAAAATGTAAAAAATATTAACTTTTTTTTTTTTTTTTTAACTTTGCTTTCCAAATTTGAAACCAAATTTTACAAATTGAAAATTTCTTCCTTTTAATTTACCTTTTGGAAGATTTCAAACTTGCCATCGCCAATTTGTTTCGTCAATGACGCAAACTGCCATGGCATCTTCTTTTGAATTTCTGTCTTTTGTTCATTGTTTACTGAAAGGTAGGTTTTGAAATCAAGTTCTCTGTTAATTTTTGTATGTATATTGTGTATTGTTACGTTTTAATTTTAGTAAAATGTGTTTAATTATTTTTCTTTTACTTTACTGGACATTGAAATTTTTACATATGTACTTGTTTTTATATATTACACTCTTAGACAAAAAAAACAAAAAAAAAAAAAAAAAGATGCGCCGAGAAGATATAAAGCAAATTGGACACAAATTTATATGCATACAGGTTTTGACGGAAAATGCAAAATTTTACATTTTGGCTGCCAATGAATGAACGGTTGTTGCTACAGTGCATCTGATCTGTACAACTGGCAGGATATTTAAGAGGAGAAATTACGATTCCAGGTCATAAATTCTTCACGAATTTCATCCCGTGTACTCTGGTACAAAGTAACTATGCCTCACATACAGGTGCGATATGCGCAGATGTCAGAATATCAGAGCGGTTGTGTAGTTGGTCTCAAAGAAGCCGGTTGGTCATATTGGCGAATAGCTCGACATTTGAGCAGGAGCAATGCCACTGTTAGACAATGTTGGCAGGAATGGGTGAACCATGGCCACACACAGTGTCAGAAGGAAGTGGTAGGCCTAGAGAAACGACAGAACGTGAAGACTGAGCAATCGTCAGAGTGGCATTCACAGCCCCAGATGCATCATTATCATCGATTGTACGTGCAACTAGTGCTTCAGTGACCACAAGGACCATTCATAGACGACTCACAGAAAGGGGACTGAAGGTCACGGCACCCCTTGCGCCGACTGCCATTGACCTCTGTACAACGTCAAGCCCATTTGCAGTGGTGTTGGTCTCATTTGCACTGGAATGTCACTGACTGGAGTAGAATAGTTTTCAGTGATGAGTCCCGCTTTGAACTGAGCCCTGATGATCAGCGAAGGCGAGTCTGGAAACACCCCGGACAGCGGTGTAATACCAACCTTTCTCTCTTCCAGCCAACAACCAGGAGTGATGGTCTGGGGTGCCATTTCGTTTCATAGTAGGACCCTTTTGCTTGTCATCCATCGTAACCTTACAGCACAGCGGCACCTCGACGAAGTTCTAAGACCCGTTGTGTTGCCCTTCATGTCACACCACCCTGGGCTTACATTTCAGCAAGATAATGCCCGACTCCGCACTGCACATGTTTCTACTGCTTGCCTTAGTGCTTTCTGAACATTACCTTAGCCAGCAAGGTCACTGGATCTCCCTCCTGTGGAGCACATTCGGAGCATTATGGGCAGGGCCTTCTAACCAGCTTGGGATATTGACGATCTAATGCGCCAGTTGGACAGAATTTGGCACGATATCTCACAGGAAGACATCCGCAACCTCTATCAATCAATGCCAAGCCGAATAACTGCTTGCATAAGGATCAGAGGTAGACAAACACGTTACTGACTTTTTCACTTTGTGAAGCTCTATCACTTCAATAAAGCATCCAAGTTTTCTAAAACTGTAATCATTTGTTTTTCTGTACATGTACATCACTTCTACCAATTTTTGTCCCATTCGGATAACTCCTTCTTGGTGTGTCTTTTTTTTTTTTTTTTTTTTTTTTGTCTAAGAGTGTATATTTCATTTTTTGAATTCCTCTGTGTAGAGGAGGCATTCAGAACTTTTGGATGAACTGTTATAATAAATAATTTAGAATGGCTCATCAGTTAATTTTGGATGAACAGAAATGCAGTATGTTTCCTCAGAGAAAGGGATTCAGTTGAATCTGAACCACCTCCTCTTGATAACATTGAATCAGATTTTCATTGCATTCCTCTTCCTATATATGTTTTATAATTTTTGTATCTCACATATCTGCACTGATTTAGTGACAGGCTGATATTTTTTACATATTTATAGGGAATTTTGGATCTTGCTGGTTTTGAATTTTATTTCTTTCATATCTTTTGAATTAAGTTTTAAACTTCTTACTTTTTTATCTATAATTGATTTAATTTTTCAGCGGCACTTTGTGAGAAATAATATATGGATAGTTTTGTTTTAAAATAAAAAATGTTGATATATATATAATTCTTCAAAATGTTTATAATGTTTTGTGATTTTGGACAATACTTAGTGAATGACTAAAATTATAGCGATAGAAATCTATTAGAAACAGTGTCTTCATAACAAACTCCATTATGAAAGAAACTGTGTTCATTAAATGCGACACCACTGTATTTTTTATATATGTTTCCCTTAATTTTGAAAAGTGGCACTGTCCATATTCTTTTAAATGATAAATTCTTTAGCTTTTGCATAAATTTAACATTGTTAAAATCAATATATGGAGTTAAGAAACTACTGCTACTAGATGCAGATGGGGTTTTAATAATTTAATCTTTCAGTCATGGTTTAAAAATGTAGAAATGCAAGTTATATAGAGTGCAGTGAAATTTTTTGTCTGTTCTTTGCCTACGAACAAGACAGTGGAAACATATTTTCCTTTTTAAAAGTGATATACAGATTCTTAGCAATGTTGTGTGTAGTGCTTAAAATTTAGTGTAAAAATTAACTAAATCGTGTTAAAGCAGATATTTAAGCAATGAATAAATAAATAGAAACATTTCTTTATTGAAGTAGAAGTTACGTAAATTGCATTTTTTAGTAACATAGTTTCTGTAATATACCAAAAATGGAATTCATTTGTGTAAATACGTACACCAGTCATAAAATCTCCTTGTAACTATTTTATATTATAGCAATTGTATGCTGTTACATTTCTTGTATGTTTTTTCAGATCCGAGCTGCAAATCTTATGCACTGTTCCTTTTTAAGTGCTATGGTTATGGGTACAGCTTCATTAATGCGCATAAAAAGGCAGCATCAGGTTAGTTTACCATCATAATGTTGTTATTTTTTTAGTTAATTTTTTTTATTTAAATTTTCAGAGACAAATTTTTATTCGGTTTTGAGGGCTGTAAAAAATCGCCAAATTATTGTTGATGCCAATGCTGCCAAAAATAATCGTGGCAAGAAAGGAAGTATAATAGTAAATAACTATCCAAGATTGATGTTTTAATTTAGATGAAAGGTTAATTTCATATAATACTTTTTTATTATAATTTATGTGAAAAAGGCTAAACATGACTGAATGGAAGCATAAGAGTAAATAACTATTTCAGGTCATTATTATAATTTATATAAAAATTGCTAAACATAACTGAATGGATGCCTGCATCGCTAATTCGCTACCGACTTATCGCTAAAGCATAATTTCATCTTGCTGGTTGTTCAAACGTAATTTTCTATAATGAATGATGCCTTTTCTTTGAAAATATTCTCTGTAAATTGCAGAATCGCTCACTTATTTGTTTGCTGCTTTTTACGAGGGTAAGAACAATTGAATTTTTTGTCAATTTTCTTTTACTTTTTAAGTGAAAATATGTTGATGTGTACATAGATAAAGTCAAGGGTGTGCACAAGTGCCATTTTTGTGCAAATCTAGGATTTCCTTTTTAAGTGAAAATAGGTCGATGTGCACATGGATGCCGAGTATGTGCAATTCTTAAAAATGTGTCAAGCAGTGGGTGATTCTGCACTTTACCCAAAATTCTATTGCCAACTTTTCGTCATGGGCAATTCCCAAATTGTTAAATCCATACGATATCAAAAAGGATTTAAAAATTAAACTAATATGTCAGTGGTGTCTTAAGAAATATAGAACTATATAAACTTACGCAATCTGAAATCAACGCGTACACTAGATTTGACGCGCTGTTAAATGAGCGTGTTTGTGTTTCTGCTTTTCCCCCTCTCTTAAATTTTATTCTTCAATAGTTTTTCTCTCTTTAATTCATATAAATTTATTATTTAATGAGTTTCATTTCTAATTTTTTGTATATTTATTTGTTTAAATTATCTGTCAATGAGAGATAATCATAAAATCATGCCTTTTTAGTTGCTTTGATTTAAAAGTCTTCAAATTCTGTTTTCAGAAATTTATTCCATATGTGTAAAAATGTAGTACTTATTTTAAATACTTCTATAATGAAGCTGATCTATATGTGTAATCAGAAGACTGTTGTAATACATATTGAGATTGCCCATCAATGTTGCATGCGCTAATCTGTTTAATGACGCGTGTTAATGCCATTTTTTTCAGTATGTTACTGAAATATCATTTACAGTTTTAATAGCATAATTTCCGGAAGAAACGCCGCGGTGTTTATGTATTTAAAACTTAAATTTTCAGCGGGTGCGCTGTTTCTACTCATGTGGCGTTTAGGTGCACTAAAAATAAAATATTTCCTATGATGGTCATTGTACATAGTTTAGATGGCCCTGTCATTGTACATAGACTGGTGCTGTTCCCACACAAAAGACCACTCAGTGGCTTTTTGCAAACATTATTTTATTTACATTCTTTCTCTTGAACAGACCTACATGCCTTATTCACCCTAAACGGGATCTCAGAACAATAACATTCTTCTCCCTTCAAATCAACATTCTCAACAGTTTGAATAGTCTCTCTCCTCTACCATTTGATGAATCTTCTAGGAACCATCCTCTCCCCACCCCTGCCTTTTCTGCAATTTTTTTCAAAGGCGGACACGGCTCCACCTGCCTCGCAATAACGAACTCTGACGTATTTCCCCTTCAGCATGAATCGAGTTTTCTTGGCATTCTGTCAGATACAGATCCCATCAGTTTGGGTACAAGTACTTGTTGGATAGTTTTTAAGTAAGAAGAGAGCGGAAAATTTTTGAAAATGTCACCTAAACGGCACAGAAGCTATACTGCTGGTTTTAAGCTTCATGTAATTTCGCATGCTGAACAAATTGGAAATAGAGCAGCAGCTCAAGAGTTTGAAGTGGACGAGAGATGTATTTGACATTGGAGAACTGAAAAAGAATTTCTTAAAAACATGCCATAACAGAAATGAGCCAAAAAGAAGTGGTACTGTAAGGTGGCCGAATCTAGAGGACGACCTTGCAAACTGGATAAAGGAGCAACAAGGAAAGGGAATGGCAATTTCGACTGTAAAAATGTGCTTACAAGCAAAATTTATAGCAAAACAAATGAACATAAATGATTTCAAAGGAGGGCTTTGCTGGTGTAGCAGATTTATGAAAAGAAAAAATATTTCTGTGCGTACTAGAACAACAGTCGGGCAACAATTACCATTGGACTGGCAGAATAAAAAGGCATCTTTTCTAAAATATGTGACAGATATTATTGACAAAAAAACTTCTTCAGTCACGGATAATAAATATGGATGAAACACCATAAGCTTTTGACTCTCCTGCAAACAGAACTGTTGATGAAACTGGTGCAAAAACTGTATCTGTGCTTACTACGGTGCATGATAGAATGTCATTTACAAGTGTGTTAGCTTGTGCTGCAAACGGTGACAAGCTAAAGCCGATGATCATTTTTAAACGAAAGACTATTCCAAAGGAAGAATTTCCTAATGACGTAATTATTTGTGCAAACGAGAACGGCTGGATGTGCGAAACAATCATGCATGAGTGGCTACAAAAAGTTTGGCAGTGTCGTGAGGGATCTTTTTTCCAACCAAAAGGGTTATTGATAATGGATTCCATGCGTGCTCATTTACTTGAGTCAGTGAAACCAGATGTCAAAAATTGTCTGCGACTGTAGCAATAATTCCTGGTGGTTTGACAAAAATCTTACAACCATTAGATTTGTCATTAATAAATCCTTCAAAGCTGAAGTCCGAAAGCGGTGGGAGTGTTGGATGAGTGAAGGGTTGCATACGTATACCAAAAGCGGTAAAATGCGTAGAGCATCTTATGAAGAAGTTGCAAAGTGGGTAGGAAGTGCATGGAAGTCAGTAAAAACATTGTTAATAATAGCAGGTTTCAAAGAAGCTGAAATTATATCCTTAGATAAAGAGACTGTAAAACAAGAGGATGAATGTGATGATCTGGAAGACTTGGACTTAAATCAGGATTTACTAAATCTTTTTAATTCAGATAGTAAAGAATCAGATTTTGATGGCTTCATATGATGTATAGTTTGCTGTAATTTCTTTTGTAAGTAAAATTTTAAATTTCCTTTTGTCATCCAAATTTAATATTTCGTTGTTGCAACATTTTTTATAATATAGTCTGAGTATTACAAATATGGACTTCTTTAGTGGATAAATATAAGTATATATGTAAACGTAAATATATTTTCAACATTTCTTACCTTTAATTTAATTTTTGAGTTATGGTTTCATTTCATGCATTTTTCTTAACTGATATGTCATATATCAGGACTTAGGTTGAGATTTTGCATCTATACGGCCCACGACGATAACACGCACAATTTAATCTGTTGCGGCATTTCTGTGTAATTTTATTTTTTTTTTCCACCATTTTTATGATCTATTGTAGTTGCCTTGAACTAAAAAGCATCAGCTTTGTATAATAACTTTATTGCTATTCTAAAACATAAAATTCTTTAAGAGAAATATTGCCTGCAGCGCAGTGCGGCTAAGAACGCTATTCTACTGAAACATAAACATGAACAACTGTTGCCACTCACACAAACTTAATAGTAAATAAAGCACGTTGCCAGTAACAAGATTATTGCAAAAATCATAACATAAAATTAAGCAGTGAGGAAATAAAATATAAAGAAAAAAAAAAGAAATGCAAATATTAAATATGCATCCAACATATTGATTTAACATAATATGTTTGTTTAAAATTGTAATTAAATTCCTATAAACTCCTGATTAATCAAGGCAATATCAAGAAGGATCTCCACAATAAACCCAGCAGTAGCTAAAAAAACAATAACATACAAGAAAGAATAGCCCGTATTATGAATAATGGAAAAAAAAAAAACTATGACTATTTTACCTGAATTTTTACACAGTTTAATTAGAAAACTTCATTTGGTTAAGTAAATTAAATCAGCATTCAAAATAAAAAGAATATACTTCATAACAAAAAGAACAATGCTTTTATTTATATCACCCTTGTATTTTGATAGAAGTCAGTTGGAAACAGAAGATATTGGCTATACATTTAATATATTTTTATGATTTCACAATTTATTTTAATGGACAATTTAACAATGTTTATATATTCCAGATTATGTGCAATTAAATTACATGTTGATTAAAACATTTCCTAAATATTAGGATATCATTTGCTATTACTGTTGTTTTTCTTCTTCTTTTTATACTTTCCATAGAAATTCTGCTTTATTCTGATAGTCTGTGATAGTAAATGTTTCATAAATATAATTTTTGATAAACTTAACATTTTTTTTTTTTTTTTTAAATAGAGCCTGATTAATTTGCCTTTGGTTAAATGAGAGCTGATTATATATTTAAAATTTAAACAATGACATGAAAATAAAAACTGAGTTGCAGTCCCTTAATCTCTTATTTTAACTTATTACATTACTTTGAACTGTAAATGTTAATTTATCAATTTTTCTAAAGAATTCGTTGAATATTCAAGTAAGTGTTTCTATCAGAAATACATAATTTTCATTTCTGTTTACTATAATCATAGTATATGTTTGATGCCTAACCCATAATAAATGAATTCTTTATCAAGGAAAATTATTATTCTTAGTAAATAGTTTTTTTTAACCAAGTACTTGTTATTTTTAGGAGTGTGTTAAAAGAAAAGCTCTAGCTTCAGCCGTAGCTGTTAGAAATGTTTCTCAAGAGGAGAGTAAAGCAGCGCTAGACAGAGTATTTACAAAATGTTATAATGATTTAGAGCCCCTAGGTAGGCGTTTAAGAAGAAATTCCCATGATATGGATAGAGTTTATAGAGAAAGGTATCTCTATGGATATGGCCATGCATAGATTAAATAATAAATTAAATTATTCAGTTTTTTAATAGAGATAAGACATTTTTATATAGAGTCATTTTTATAGACTTAAAATAAATCCATTGCAAAGTGTTTTGTTGTTGATCATTGTATGTGTACATGACTTAAAGTTTTAACATTCATAGAACTCATAATTTCATTTCCAGTTAAAAGGTTCTCTTTTTCTTGTTATATCTGCTTAAACATATACAGTCAAAAGTCATTAATCCGGACTCGTCGGGACTTCGGCGATTCCGAATTATAGATCATCAGTTTAAATCTCGTAAGATGGCATGCAGAAATTATAAAATTAAAAATATGAAACCGTAATTTATGAAATAAAGAGCAATTATGATCTAAAGGGTATCAAAATTTACAAAAAGAAAAAGCTAAATATTTATTTGTTTACTTTATTAAACATTTCTTTTAATGTAAGTTATTTAATTTGCTTCGCTTCATATGATAATACTTTCTCTTTAATTCTATTAAACAGACATAATTTCTTGTTTAGTTACAAAGTTCCGCTGTTCAAGTCCTATAATTGCTGTGTCGAGAATACTGACTAATTTGTCAATCAAAATTTTTTCGTTTTCAATAACCTCTGTCACTTTCTTCGCTATCGGAAGCGAATTATAATGACGAGGCATTTGATTTAAATCATATCAAAGACGAGATGAAATACTACATTGAGTAAGCAATTATAAGCCAAATAAAATAAAAACATCTGCCCTTAAGATAAGGATAGTGCTGACAGATCAACTTCCAATTCATTGCGCGCCGTGGCATATCCCCCCCCCCACCGCAGAACAGCCTGAAATTGATAAACAGATTTCGGAACGGTTAGAGAAACAAAGGATATGCCTTTATCCATTTTTTTGCAGCAATTTCACTTTCTGTTTAATGGACTTCGAAACATACTTTCACTTTGTAGATCTTTTACGTATTAGTAAATATATATCGGAAATTCTATTTGACATATCAGAAGTTCAAGCTTACTTTTATAAAATTGCTCTAACAGTCTGCAAAAAATAATAAGCCGGATCCAATTCGAAGATTAAAGAACAACGCAATCTGCAACATTAACTGAAATAGATAATTAGATAATTTTAGTTTATACCGTCCATTATACATTAAACGTGCATGCATAAATGTATTATGCACATGCACACATGTAGATTCGCAGCCGTAAAGGTCTTACGCGCACGCGTAAACACCTATGCGCATGCGTGAACGCGACGCATGCGCAAAATGTTTTTAGCTTTTAGGTCCGGATTATGGGTGTCCGAATTTAATGACTTTTGACTGTATAATGCTGAATTATATTTCTGCCTATTTTAATATATCAACTTGAGCTTCCTGCCTTTTATAAATGAAGCTTAAAAATAATAACTTTTTGTACTAAATATTTCACATTGTAAAACATTTCTGCATCTTTTTTTAAAACCTTTATAGTAATCAATTAAAAAAACCAAGAAATGCAGAAGATGATGCTAGTACTCACAACTGCAAGTAAAATCATCCTTGAGAACTTCAAAATTGCTAAAAACGTTGGGTAAAATAAAGTGTCTGCAAAGAACATTATATGATTAGCATGGGATGGGGCTTAGTATGACATAAAAAAATCTAAAGAACATATTTTAAATATTTTGCATAAAAATAAAAGCTATTACTATTAAAATTTAAGAATCTTCGTTTTATATCATTAATAAATGCATTCTTTTCGATTTTAAGCTATTTTTTTTTAATATCTGTAATGTCACAGTAATGTAAAGGTCCCCAATCTTTTTGTCCCTAAGAATACATTCTAGAATAGCTGTTGAATGGTGAGCACCATTTACTTTTTCAAGGTGAAATTGTAGTGGGATAGAGTTAATAATACATGCACATGGAAAAAGAGTTTGGTACATAGAAAAAAGATTTCACTTTGTGCTGGTATCTGTGTTGGACACTGAGAAAACTCTCGCATAAAATTTTATTGAAAACTAAAATATTTTTATTGTGATCACGAAGCGGCGGGCACTCGTTAAACGATTGGTGGATGGCGCTATGATGCCCACAGGTATAGGGTTGGGAACCCCTGTGGTAATGTATAGAAAGGGTGCTGGCAAGTCTTGGGACGAGGTACTGGACAAATGTTTAATAATATATGAGGTACATACTTAATTATCAGTTCCTGTTTTCTATTATTTTATGTTGTTTGGAATGACAACAACCCAAGATTGCAGAATTTAGGAGGAGGCTTGTATTATTTTTACTGCTATTGACTGTAGGCTTCCTGGTTTGTTTATATATTCATACTTTTTTTATTATTGTATGCAAGTTTCTGACAGCATAAAATTAAAATCTGGCTCTGTTGCTTTAAATACAGCATTCTCATTGTCTTGCATTATATTTTAAGTCCTAAAATTTAAGAATATAAGTACATTGTGTGATGCAAAACAATGTACATCCAGAAACAAATTAAAGATCAACACCAGACCTAAATAACGACTCGCAACAGAATGTAGAAAATGCTTATCATCAAGAGGCAGAGTTTGAATAGTGTCCTGTCACAGGGCATTGAAAACATTTATCAGAGACGATGTCAGTTAAAAAGTCGAAGCAGTTATGACAACTGCTTGCAGTTACGTCAATACGTAAGTTATCTATAATCACCTAGCATGCCCTGACATCAGAGTTAAGCTGAAGTGAAAAGATGGAAGGACCATCATCATCAGGTTGGAAGATAGATGGCTGGTCAGTCCAATCAGTCATAACTTGTACATAGATTTGGAGTCAAATGACACTCCAACAGTGTTGTTCCCATTGTCCTGTAGAAGGCAGTATAAAAGGCATGCACTTGTTGAAAAATTAAGGAGAGAACTGAATGTTATAACAGAGTGTTGAAAAATTTCATGACACTACACTCATTACATTCTACCATTTACAGCAAGCAAGTAACATCAGAAATTTTACTGGAATGTCTGATGTACATTATAATGCTGTGTTATGAAGGAAACCAAGATATAGTATATAGTTGGAATTTAATTTTTGGTTTATATTTTTGTTAAAATTAATAAGTTTTTACTGGAGTTAATCTGGCTTTTCATTTTCAACATGACATTGCCTAGCCATACTTCACCAGACTTTCTCATAATTGCTTCTGTGTTGATATCTTCCTGTGTTAGCCAGAGCACTCAATTTCTTGATGAAATCATTTGGTACATGATAGCATGTATGTGCACCCATCCTAGAACTTATTGATTGTTCAGTCAGTTAATTTGTTTTGAGATGTGTTAATTAACTGGTTAAGTTTAGCCTTTCATCCAATTAAAAGTTTCTAAATTATTTTCATGTGTTCGCTGATAAGTCATAAATATACGTAATGAACATATACTTCTCCAATGATATGTGTAATTATATTATCCATTGATCATGTGTTTCTTTCTATTTTAAATACTGCCTTTCCACGGAGATTTGAACAAAGGGAAAGTATGTTGATTTTTTTTTTCTTTTGGTTTATTGCTGTGTGGTATTGTTTTGTTAGAAAATTTTCATTCTCTTTTGTGCAAATGTGCATACCTTTTAATTATCTTTGAAGATGCGTAAAATCCAATATTTTCTAGTCCTGTGGCAGAAACCAAGAAGATATGTGTGTCAGGAGACTGTGGGTCCTCCCAACAACCTGGTTATCAATGTGGCTAGTAGTCATGATGTTTAGCGTGATGTGCCAATCTGATGTATGGAATTGTTACATCTAAGTATCTGCTGACATACCAGTTAAGTTAATCACCTGTTACCCTACTCCCATCTTCATCATGTTATGTTTATTTCTTACATATCATAGGCTCACATATCCTATTCATCGGTTTTGTTTAGCTCAAGGAAAGCACCCATTAAAGTTTATAGTTAATTTACAGCACATATGCTCTTTAGGTAAGCAGAGGTGCCAACACTCCTGATTTAGGCGGGAGATACCTGATTTTCGACCGCTCTCCCACCAACCCGATTTGCAATATATTTCTCCCGACTTTTTCTTATTCTTAATATTTCTCACGATTTTTATGGAACTTGGCTTAATGCTTCGTTATATGAACAAAAAACAAAAAAAAAAGTGATTTTGGATGTCTGAAAGCAACTGAATTTTCTCTAGATTATATCTAAAACAAAACCTTGCGAATCACATGAGAATTTCTGCTTTGTGAGTGACAGCATACGTATCCAGAAACGTCGTTCTTCAGTTCTCTAATGGGCATCGAGCTCCACTGCGTGTCATCTGGCATATATTAGCCAGTGAGCACAAAGCAAGCTCTCAAGGCCGTTATTTGGATGTTCTTTCGTTATTTCGTTCATCTTGTCCTGAGTTGTGTGAGTACACGTGCCTTCGGGAAATAGTTTTAAAAATTATCATCTTTTGTTATGTCTGCAAGAAAGGTGAAATACTCGTGCACGTTTCAAAAATCGTACACAGTTGACTTTCCTTCCATTATTTCCTCAAGAAAATGTAATAAATTTGCGATGTGTACCATCTGTCGTTGCGATTTTTTGATTTCGCATGGTGGAAGGATGTTCTCAAACTTGTGCGTACACAAAAACACAAGGACAACATGAGTTGTTTTGAAAAAAAACGAAAAATTAAATTTTTCTTTGGAAACAAAAGACCAAAAAGTGATTAATGCAGAGTGTCTGTTCTCTGCCTTTTTTTTTACTGGAGCACAACCTTGCCACTGAATGCATTGGATCACATGCTGCAGCTTTATTTAGAAAAATGTTTCCCGATAGTGAAATCGCTAAGAAATACTCAAGTGAAAGGACCAAAACAGGTGCAATTGTTAAAGAAATCGATTTGAAAAATAAATCTTCAGTTATTGATTGCATTAAAACAGCTCTGTTCTGCCTCTCTATGGATGGAAGCAATAATACTGATTCAAAAATGTATCCAATTGTTGTTTCTTTTTTTAATCCAGAGTCTTCAGAAATTGAGTGTAGTTTACTTTCTGTCCCACTTTAGAAGGACATTCAACAGGCTTTAATATAGCACAGCTAATTATTAAAACTTTAAAAGAAAATGCAGCCTCTCTGGATAATTGCTTAGCACTTTGTGCAGATAATGC